CTGAAAAGGACTGCCGGGAAAATTGGCTACAAGTAGCGTACAATAAAAAACAATGGAAAGGAAGACTTGAAGAGGCTTATGTTCAGATGTGGACATGAATGGCTAGACGAAGAAGAAGAAGAAGATGTGCAAATAATTAATACAATTAAAATGTAGTCACAGCTTAACAGTTAATTAAAATCAATGTGACTAAATAAATCTTCAATAAACAATTCCAGTTCTCGACATTGTAATAATAAGTTTATCCCGGCGGTGATTTTCATTATTCCACACGGAAGTGCGAACAAAAGATAACGGAAGAGAAGCCATTTTATATTCTTCCTCTCTGTTCTAAGAAAAGCAGAAGAGCCCTAAACTAGACTATTCACAATAAACTTTCTCTGCTATTAAATTATTTAATTTAAACGGTAGTGGGGCGTTGCTGTAGTGGAGTTAAGGCCGAAGTATAACCTTGTTAGCCAGCACAACTGAGTTATGGTCTTATAATGCCGGGAATGAGAAAAAGAACCTCTCCAGGACTTCGGCACTCGTCAGTCTTCTCCAAGCAGGCGGTCGAGATGTTTTAACCCCGAGTTAAAAAATTTTTATTCATCTTTCTCGCGTTTTTCCATTTCTAATGATTTGTGCGTGTTTTCGAGGTGCAAGTCGCACAGTGCCATATGTGTCACTTGGACAGCGGAAGATGGCGGTGGTGTAGTTTACGAATACGTGAATCGGACGACGAAGGGGAAGAAGAGGATGCGGTAGTGAGGGGTTTCGTCCTAATAGGACTAGTCTGCACATCTAAACTTCCGCCAAACTATAATTTATATTCAAAAAGAAGTAGATGCCTAACTTGAAAGTTATAAGTTATGTCTATTTTGGAATAAATAGCAGAAAGTTCATTTCTTATAAATATGTTTTTTTATGACTATATTTAAAGAAATTATGAATTTTACGCAACAACAAGATTTTTAATGAAAATTTATTTATTTATATTATAAAATATAATTTCATAAGATAAAAAAATTATTTGATTGGCAATTATTTATTTGCATAACGCATTAAACTATCCTACACAGTTTTAGAAACACCAGATATGGATTTTATTATAATTTATTATTAACAAATTCAGATATCAATTGTTCCCGCTTATTTAAAAGGAAATAAAGTGTTTATTGAAATTTGACATTTAAAATAATTTGATAATAAAAATAGTTAAAGTCAATTGTGATCAAACCAGTCAAAAATTTAAACAAATATTTGCTAAATTGTTAAATTGCCGTTCCTTTATGTTAAATAGATATTTTCTGTAGAAAGCATGAAAGTATGAGACGGAAAAAGCATATAGATTGTATATATATATATATATATATATATATATATATATATATATATATATATATATATATATATATATATTTCAAAGGTATTAGAGGTTTAATCGGTCATTCAAGTTGGCAAAAAAAAAAGAAGTCGACTACTTCATTAGTTTAATCGAAGACGTTTCGCCTTATATTTCTAAAGCTTCATCAGTTCTCTAAAATATAACAGATGGCAAACAATGAGTTTATAAGATATACAGGTGTTAATAGTTCATAACTTACAACTCAATATGTAGTATATTATCGATGTTATATATATATATATATATATATATATATATATATATATATATATATATATATATATGTACCTAAAATTTACTCAACATTTAGAACTAACTTAACAAAAAAAAACAAAAAACACAAACTCTATAGTTACTAATGTTCATATTCAAAGATACGAAAATTTAAATATTTAAAACGGACAGTAGATTTGATTTATATATATATATATATATATATATATATATATATATATATATATATATATATATATATATTCATATCAATATATATGTATATATATACATATTCCATCTTTCAAATTCACATAAAAGATAATATTCACCAAAAAATTATTAAAATTCGAAAACAAATATCCCCCGGAGTCACTTTCATTAAAACCTTTCCATTTGTAAATACTTAGCTATAGACGACTACAAAATATAAACCTTTTTTTTAATTAAGGCAATTTGTTTGTTAATAAACTACATGAATAATTTTACTTTAAGTTACAATTTAATTAATGTTGGCTATGAGCACGTGGAGGTACTTGCTAACTTCCAGTGGAAGTCAAAATTTGAGCAAAGTAGCAAAAACTGAATTATTAAATTTACTTGCAGTTTATTAAAAATAACTGTTGAAGTAAGCTATTAGTTGCACAAAGCAAAAAAGAGTGCCTACATATTAAAAATATACTGGGCCACAAAAAGAAGGAAGAAAAATTAGGATATGCATTTAAATCGACATACTGAATTAAATATATCTGATAAAATAACAAAAAATATACGAAAAAAACATATGGAAATGTTTTCAAATCCATAATGAAAGCATTGTAAGCATTGTGAAAGTACAAAAAAAAATGTACAAAATAACGCGAGAGTATACATCTGAGACATTATAAAAATGAAATAACTTGCTTATGATCTATGTTAAAAGAAGACTAAAATTCTTAGTAAATTATATAATACAGCCCTTTTTAAAAAATATAGTTAATAAAATCTATTAGTGATATTTGGATATATCGAAACCAAGTAAAATTAAAGGAAACAGTTTTTAGATTTTGTATTGCTAATATTTATGTTTTAGCAATCTGAAAAGCATGTAGTTAAATTTGGGTTTTTGCAATGATACATCTAATATACCAAGACTTTTGAAATATACATTTAAAGAAAATCTTGAAAACAGTCAAATAACTACAAAAAATCATGAAGAGTAAATCATGAAGGTTACATAAATATTGCAAACTTATAGAACATTGTAATTGTTAATCATATACATGTTTTATGTTTAAGCTGAACGCTATCTTACGATCTTTATAAGGAATTAATAAATTTTAAGTGTTGTTTTCCAATAAAACTTAATCTTTTAATATTTTCAAATAATATGGACACTCTTCATTGCATTTACAAACATGTTGAAATATGTAAATAAAAGTTGTAAATAGTATATAGGCATAATCTGTTAATATGGTTTGAAAAAAAAAAACAAATAAAAAAGTATACCACAATTTAATAAAAGAAAAACATAAAAGAATTAGGAAAATAGAAATAGAATAAGAAACAAAAAAATGGATACAAATAAAACAACAAAATAAGCAAAAAACAAAAAAAAAACAAAACAAAACATAACAAAAAAACAAGAATATAATAAAAAAATAAAAAACAAAATAAAAATATATCAAAACAAAATTTATGTATCCATGAAAATATTAAGTATATGTGGTACTAACATTGATAACTGATAACAAGAAAATTTAGACTATGAATCTGCAATCAATAATAATTAAAATTCAGTCGATTTTACACAAACAAGTCTTGCTAATTGGCACTGCCAAAGCTATTTTTCAGAGAGAAAAAACACTATCTTACGTTGTTTTGTGTGTGCCTTCTACGATTTAATAAAACGATGACAATAAGCAATCAAATGAATACAAAAAGAAAATACCTATATTGGCTTCAACCCTCGAATGTAAATTTTAAAAATGATTGACTGTGAAGGTATAAAACCACGAACATATATTTTTCATTTTTTCTTGAATGAAAATTATATTTTTTTTATTCAAACTAATATTTAGAAAATTGTCTACAATTTTTATTTTCGTTTATCAGTAAGATAAACGTCAAAATAGATAAGCTAATAGTTATCATTCAACTAAAATTTTGTTTTAAACTGTTTATTTTCTAAAAGTAAAATTAAACATAATAGTAGCTGGGTTAAAATATATGTATTAATTGTACACAAACATTATAGACCGATTTATGATTGAAAAAAATAGTCTTTTAAAAATACGAATAAGAAAACTTTTGCAATAAAATAGCTGACAGCACTAAAATTTTTGTTAAACACTATTGAAAAAAAACTATTGTACAATATAAAAACAATATAATAACCTTGTAAAAACCCCTTTATAACAATTGTAATCAAAAAACTTTTCCTTCTGTCTATAGTTACTACTCCCGTTTGTATGCCGTCGGAAAGTTTAATGAAAATTCATTGAATTTGTGAAAATGCACAGTGTTTTTGGTAAATTTTAAATTATTCTAACAACCTATATTTTAAGCTACAATACACAAACTGTTGATAATAACATTACAAACATATTTTAAATGCAGCAAAAAAATATATATCAAAATAAACTAAAAACGTTTGAATTTATTTAATAGTATTCACACGTAATTAAAAAAATGTTTTTTCCAGGGAAATCAGGCAAATTAAAACGTTTTACAGGTAATTTAAACATTCTAAAACATAAACATAATTACTTCAAAATAAAGATTTACAACTTGCGAAATAATTATCAGAGATAATACTAATGGTCGTCGTTAATAGAATACAATGTGAAATAAAGATATATTATCCTACTCCTTAATAATAGCTACTGAAATACCCACTTTGATCTTTCTTTGGTATACAGTAAGTTAACCCGAATTTTTATTGTAAAATATTTTAAAAATTTGGCTATATATTTGGCTATATACATATACAATAAACCAAAAAAAATGAGCATGAAAAAATTATATTATAAAAAGATGCACGTGCATCTATTGACTCGATATTTTTTGAAAAATATGGGGGAAGTAAAATTACACTATTTAAAAATATAGACTAAAACTGGGGGGTAAACACGACAAGTAGTAATAAGACTGAAGAAGATATAATAAAAGATAAAAAAAAGAAAAGTTAAAAAAGAGCAGGCACAATTGAAGAGAATAAAAATTGAGAAATATAGTTTTTAAACAAAAACACACCAATATTTAGAAAGCATAGAAAAAATAATAGGAACCAGAAATGATTAATCAATGTGAATTTTAATATAATCAACTATTAAAATTTTTAACAAATTGTTTTAAATGAATTTAGCTATAAACCATTTCCAAAAACAAATTACTATTAAAAACACATGTTTATACTTACTTTGCAGGTTCATTGACGACGGAAACATCGCCGCTCTATGTACATCTTGCACGTGGGATCGCGACCCCATAACAGCACATTGTGACCCAGCAGTAACAGGATGGTGTACCCCCATGGGCCCCCCAGAACCAGGATTGTAAGACCTGGCCATGGAAGCGGCGGCAGCGGTATACCTGTATGCTGCTTGAGACATCTGACTGCAAGAAGTCAGATCCCCATAAGAACATGGCATGTTTGTCAAGCCGGTAGGATCCATGGTAGTACCTTGAAGGCATGACGAATCGAAGCTAGCTTGGTTAAGGTACGAATAGTCCATTTTGGCGCGAAATCGTCGAAATTACCACGCGGTTGGTGTTATGGACTAAAAAAAAGGGGTGCTATTTCTAATCGAATAAAAGTTTTAATATTAAATTATGACGCGGTTTAGATTCACGAGAGTTTTTTAGAAACACAACAGTGACTCTCAAGTCTATGACTGAAATCAAATGATAAGCTTAATTCAATAACGACCAAGTTTAGGGGAGGATCGGAAAAACTCAGTGTGCCGGGAAAATGGGGATGAAATCATGAAAACGGGTCGTAGGATGCTGTGCGAGCGGGCGGAGCTAATGCCATGACAACTACTTCGGCGAATCGTTGCCGAGCCTCGTTTGAACCCTCGCTAAGGGTTGGCTGGAGGCAGTGACGTCACGGGGGTGAGAAGCACGCGACTGTAGGGTTTGTGGGGTTCAGTTTCTGTGACACAATCGCACATATGAAGGGAATATTAAAATGTTTCTTGGATGTTGAATTAAATTTGCATTCTGATCTTATCTGTTTTCCTTTTAGTGTTTATATATCAACACTCAACAGTTGTAGAGGTGTGTGATTTCTTGTTTTTGGTGGATCGAAAGTCATTTCGTGAGTTTTAAGGACGGGAAGGAGAAAAGTAGTTTAATTATATCGTAAAATTTGAGATAATCCAAATCATTTAAAATTCTTAGTAGGGTCATACTGAGCATGAATTTTATAGGGGATGATTGATTTACTACGTTTATAGATCTATAAATTAAATGAAGATAGCTTCTAAACTACAGCGATCAGTAACTTATGATATTATTTTTTTATTATTTGTATTTTAAATTCTTCTAAAACAAAACTAGCTTAAACAAGCACTGTACTTTGTAATGAATATTTGTATGAAAATTTGAAGCAAGCTAGACTGTTAGTTAAAAAGTTTAACAATAATTTACAATTTAGTATTTTTATTAAGTAAAAAGCAAAGGAAATAAAATATATTATAAGTTGATAATGGTGTCATAAAATATAGACCTTTAACTGTTGAATAGCGTCAAGTTTAATTGGTAATCGTTATAAACGGAGAAGCTGTGATTTAAAAAAAATGAGCTTACTCCACTTTTATTGATCGTAAAAAACTGTTTTTAATCTTTGTCTTGACTTTAGATATAAGAATAAATAAGTTAAACATAGATTAATGAAGAAAAAATCATGGATGACACATGAGATTCTGAAACTAATGGACGAGAGAAGAGAAACCAAAAATGACCCAGACAAATATAAAATCATAAATACATTAATAAGATCGAAAATCCGAGAAGCGAAAGAAAATAAGACAAGGGAAAGATGCGAAGAAATTAATACTCTGCAGTCAAAGTACGATAGTCACAACGTCGGCAACCCCTGATAATATACAAGCAGAACTACTCAAACTAATGGACAACGAATCAATAGCAATAATCTCAAAGATATTCAACAACATATACAACTCTGAAGAAATACCAACAGAATGGCTGAAATCTGAGTTTATTGCACTTCCAAAAAAAACAGGAGCTAAAAAATGCGAAGATTACCTACTATAAGTCTTATGAGTCATCTCCTAAAATTGTTCCTGAAAATAAATCATAAGAGAATCTACAAGCTCTGTGAATGTCAAATTTCCCCCAACCAGTTCGGATTCACAAATGCTGTTGGTACTAGAGAGACTTTTTTCTCAGTGCAAGTCCTATTCCAGAGATGCAGAGACGTCAACTGCGATGTAGGGGAACCTGGCCCAAAATGACATACTAGGGTAAAATGACACATCCGGTGTATCTCTAACTTGGCAACATGGCTATGCGCTAAGTTTTATACAAAAGCATCACGTGGTGCATAATTGATGTTCCAACGGGCGTCGCGATCAGTTCAGTCGTTTACTTGTTAAAAGATGGTTTGTGCTTTATTGAGTACCAAAATATTTTGGTAGGCGACGTATACTTCGCTATAAAACGTTTAAAACTTAAAAATTTTATATCTCTATTAGTTCCAGGTATGTATTGTTATTCATATTAACAGAAACATCATGTTTGGAAGCTTTGTTTGTTTAAACAAAAAATTTATTGTAAAAAACGTGTTCTTGTTCACACTTGGGCAAAACGACATATTAAATACTCGGGTAAAATGACATAGTATGTCATTTTGCCCATATAAATTTTAATAATAATATGGTAGGTAGAATATTAATGTATGGTATTTTTCTTTTTTAGTATGGTGGGACACTACGAAAGCAAAAGTACACGCCAGTCTTGGGATCCAGTACAAATGCAAAGAGCCATCCAGGCAGTCCAATGTGGAGACATGGGCTGGTTAAAAGCATCGATAACTTTTAATGTGCCCCAAGCTACTTTAAGTCGAGCATCAGACAAGAATAAACGGGTATCAGGTACTAATAAAGGTCTTGGCCGGTACGAAACTACGTTGTCTTTAGAATTAGAAAGAGACCTCGTAACATACATAAAACTCCTAGAATCAAGTTTGTTTGGATTATCTTGTGATGACGTTTGTGTTTTAGCCTACCAGTTAGCAGATCGAAATGGAATAGTACACAGATTTAACACAACCACTAAGATGGCTGGTTGGGATTGGTTACGAGGGTTTCGGTCTAGACACCCCGATATATCCCTTAGAAAACCCGAGTCCACGTCTGCAGCAAGAGCGCAATCATTCAACGGGCCGCAAATTACCAATTTTTTTAAACTTTTAGAGGATACTATTAGAAATAACAAAATTAATCCTACACGCATATGGAATGTGGATGAATCAGGCCTATCCACGGTTCAAAAACCCGGCAAAATATTTGCAACCAAGGGTCGGAAGCAAGTGGGCCTAATTACAAGTGCGAAAAGGGGGCAGCACATAATGATGGTTGCTTGCATTAGCTCAGTGGGGAATTATGTTCCACCAACACTTATATTTCCCAGGAAAAATTGGAAAAAGGAATTAATAGATGAAGCGCCTTTAGGAACTTTAGGAATAGCACAGGAAACAGGATGGATGACAGACGAAGTGTTCCTAACATGGATGAAACATTTTAAAGAATATTCTAATCCTTCTATAGAAGACAAGGTTATGCTGTTGCTTAATGAGCATGCGAGCCATAAAAACATTAATGTTTTAACTTTTGCCAAAGAACATGGAATAGCGATATTGTGTTTACCGCCGCACTGTACCCATCGTCTACAGCCGTTAGATGTATGTTTGTTTGGTCCATTAAAGAGCTACTATGATCAAGAAGTTACCAAGTGGATGAAGTGTCATCCAGGCAGAATAGTTTCGCAATACCAAGTTGGAGGATTATTTGCTACAGCGCGTATGGAAAAGCAGCTACACACCAAAATGCCGTTAGTGGATTTTTAAAGACTGGAATTTGGCCCCTTAATTCCGACATATTCCCTGATTATTTATTTAATCCTTCCAAAATAACAGATATTCAAGAAGAAGTTGCAATTCAACCCCTAACAGAGTCAAAAGAAGAGAATGATAATGTTTTGCGACATCAAGATTTTCCAGATCAAGGAAACAAACCGGTTTCTACACCTAGACCAAACTCACTTGAAAGTTGTTCTTTAATTAATCCTGGTATTCGTTCACTTGACATTTCACCCCTTCCATCGTGTTTAGGTGTCCAGCCACGCTCCAAAAAAAGAAAATCAGAAGGAACAAAAGTTCTAACGGCTACCCCAAATATGAAAGAACAAAAAGCCAAAGCACTCGAGAAGCGAGCTACAGAAAAACGTCAAGCTGAAAAGCGAGCAATTAAGAATCTGACTTTAATGACACAAGATCGCGAGGAGGAAACAAAGACCATTCTGTCAGATGATGACGAAGACGGAAATAATCCTCCATGTTTATATTGTAACAGTTTGTACTCCCATTCAAGGTCCAAATGATTCTGGATTAGGTGCCAAAAATGCTCAAAATGGGCACACTGTGTTTGTGCTGTTATCTCAAAATCGTGCAAAAAATTTATTTGTGAACTTTGCTAATTTAGTTTATATGACATTTTATCCATGTGATTGTGTCGTTTTAGCCAAATATACTTGGATAAAATGACATAGCAACGTTTATTTTGTTTCGTTTTTTTAATTAAAAAATATTGTGTTGTTAGAGTTTTATGTTCCATGATCTGTTCTACTTTCAAACAATGAACAACATTTATGTTTTTTTAAATTTTTATTAAAAAAATAAAAAAGTTATTGGACGACAAAAAAGTAGTATGTCATTTTAGGCCAGGTTCCCCTATACGCATGTCTGGTTGATTACAAGAAAGCGAGAAATCGAGTACAGCACGCCAATATGACGTAAATACTAAAAGAAGCTGGAATTAACAACCAAGATCTGAAAATAATTAAAAATATTTAATGAAATCAGAGAGCAAATCTCAGAGTTCAACACACTGACTATGTAAAAATTTTGTCTCCTCTAAGCTTCAATCTCTACTCTGAAAGAATATTTATCGAAGCTTTGTACGGATCTGAAAAAGGTATTCTACTAAATGGTTACCGGCTAAACAACATCAGATATGCAGATGACACCATAATATATGCGGACAACTTAGAAGACCTACAAGTTCTAATGAACAAAATCACGTATTACAGTCAACAATATGGACTTAATATAAACGTTAAGAAAACAAAGCTAGATTCACCTTCAATCGGATGGGGGCCTTCTTTAAGAGTTACAACTTCTCTCTTGATACAAGTTCAATCGTAAACCTTGAACGAAGATTTGTGCAAAAAACTGAAAGCAATTGAGATGAAGCTATATTGGATAATACTCAAGATCCTATGGACTTACCGAGTCAGAACTAAGGAGGTTCTCAGAAGAATGAATAAGAACCGAGAGGTGCTGACCACCATTAAATTTCGAAAGTTACAATTCTTCGAACATATTATGAGAAATAAATCCAGATATGCACCCCTTCAAGCCATCCTGCATTTTGGTTAAAGAACCTCAGAATCTGGTTCGATACAACATATGTGCAGCTTTTCCGCGCTGCTG